GGGTGTGGGGGTGTGGGCGGCGGTATGTGCTCAAAATCCATTCAGGGCGATTGTTGTTGAGCGTCGGCGGTGTTTTCTCTATATATAAGGAGAAATGAAGAGTCGAGGAGCCGGACTCGCTGAGATTGAGAGCTGAGGACGCCCGTCAGGCATTGTTCCGACTCAACGTCACGGTCGAAACGAGATTGGAGCTTGACTTCGGATTCTAGCGCCAGGGAAGGTTGGTGGGGAGAAATGAGCGCAGGGACAGCACGTAGCAATCTGGAAGAAGGATGTGAAGTGAACGAGAGTAATGAGGGCAGGGCAAAAAAACATACCTACATATGAGCGGATTCTCACCCAGCGGTCCAACCTTCCGGTTGAGTACACTCGCTGTAGCGGGGTGCGTTGACAATGAGAGGCTGGAAGAGAGGACCATGGCCAAGTTAAGATGTCGGGGCGATGACGAGGCTCGGTCCGTGGCTACCGGTACTGGTTCTATTTCTAATCGAACTCCGACAGCGTACACAGCTCTCTGGCCTCTGCTATCGCAGGCTCCCGTAGAGACTCGTTGGACACGTTCTCCGCTTCCTCATCCCCCCTTCTGCAGCTGCCCCATTACTCTCGACTCACTATCAAGTCACCTTCTTCCGCCCCATGCCGTTCCACCAAGCCCCACCCTCCGTCGGCCTATCCCCGGACTTCGGGATCCAATACCGGCTTCCACCCGCTGCCAGTCCAACTCAAGATGCTCGATCGGCTTCGTACTCTCAACCACTGACACATCTCGCCTTCCGCACCGACCAATCCAGCCGACGCCCATCGAACTCGCACCAGCCTTCGATACTCTTCCCTTCCTACGACCCACCTCCACGGACGCCTTTGCCATTGCATTCCAACATGCTCCCCGACGCGTGCAACCCCTGCTTCCTCCGCATATCATGCCCCGTACCTAATGCCTAAACACCCGGCTCGCCCTCGGGACCAAGAACACGTTCAAACCTTCCTTGCGCCGCACGCCGAAGAATATCGTCCAGACGAAATCCTTCGTTCCCTCTCGGCACTTCTGCTGTTTGTCCGCTTCATCATTCTACCCGCCTCCATCCCATGCCAGCGGAGCATCACGCTCCCGTCATTCATCCTCCCTGACCGCTCGGCTGCCGAATTCCCATCGCGCCGGCACACGCCTTCCCCACTACATATCATTATCTTCGAGTGTTTCCTCCCCTGCGTGTTCCATATTCAGATGAAGTCGAACACACTGTATAATACTACAAACAATACAATTTTTTCGGGCCTGAGGACGTATGACACCGGTTTTCGCCGAGCTTTGTGTAGCCATTAGTCCAGCATTCCGCGGTTTACACAGCCACATCCTCGCCTTTCACCAATGCAACCAACGAAACGAAAACGCACGTCTGGCTTGACAGGCATAGAGTTGGCGATAGCCCTGGCCGCCCTCAAGAAGCTGGCGGAAAAAGCACGACAAGAATTGATTATGAATGCGATGCAGCCTGTGGCGGAGGAGCAGGACCCGGAGTTGGAATTGGTTGAGGAGGCAGAGGCCACGGTTCTTACACAGATCGAAGAACTGATGGCAGTCCTGCAAGCAAGAGCTGACGGCCCACAGGTTCGTGCAATTGACCTTCTGGATGCATTTAACCGACCCAGTGAGCCAGTCGTATTCGTTCTCGGGGATGACCGGGGAACTTCTTGAAGACTTAAAGATACAATTTAGCGGTACACTCGCGCTGAAGGGCGATGCCCCTGGCCGTGGGGCCTTGACGGACAATCTTGGAAACGATAAGCTCTGGTCCGCGACCACTCTCCTTGCCCATCTTCGTTTTCTTGAAGAACTTGTTCCGCGATGTGTTTGCTTCAAAATTTCATCACCGATACGCCGGTCATAAGCTCACTGTATCTCTTCCTTTAGAATGTGGCCGCAACACGTCTCTGGATCAATGCATTCTTTTACCGTGTCTCTGCCATGATTCCGGAACATTTGAAGATGGCTTTAAGCATTGAACAAGTTGTCCACAAGAGCCCGCACACATTGTCCGGCTTCATTGATTTTACAGCCGCAGTGATGGTCCCGGCACAGTTGGGTGCGTTCACCTTCTCTTCCGTGTAGGCTTGTCTCAGTTTTCCGCAGGCTCTTTCTTAGAGCGACCTGTCTTGCGGCCTAATGATTCGGTGTTGTTTGTCTCGGAAGCCAAGGATGTAAGTATCGACCTCAAAAAGCACATTCCTCAGGCAGTCGCAGAGATGCTTGGATGCGCAAGACGTGCGGGGTAAATTAGTATTTCCTCGGAATTCGTGCCCTCACCTGTCTCACTGCCAATTTTCAGGAAAAAGATTGTCAAGGGTGTTGTGACGGATGGACGAAGTTGGATATTCCTCATCCTTACCCTGCAGGACGACGGAACCGCTACCTATGTTCGATCTGTTGAGATCAACTATGGACGTTTTACGACACGCCCCTCCCAGGAGGGGGTTTCCTTGATCTCTGCCATTCTCGCTCATTGGGTATGCTGAGTGGTTCTCCGACTTGAAGAACTGAACTGATTCGTCCATCGCCAGATTCTCCATAGTCATGAGGCGTTCAATGAACCCACTGATTTCTTCCTGGCGCCCATATAGCAAGACAACGGGCTGTCAATGTGGCGGATGCTCACATTCAGTATGACGCTTTGAAGTGTATCTCGTCTTTTCGACTCATCGTCTAGTCATAGTCAAATCATCGGACCCTGGCTGGGTGGGTTCGTTCGGTAGCTGTACATAGTCGTCGGCTAAGTTGAACCGCGTAATGAAGACGCATTGCGCCGCAATCTTTCAACGAACATTTCTTGCTTTGTGGTCATTGAGGGGTTTACCCGTGAATCGTTCTTCTCTTGGCAAGTGCATCTGTCTTCGAGAAGGGATTTGATTGAGAGTGAGAGAAAGCTGAGCGAAGGAGGATGATGCGAAGCATCTTGTTGGAATTCGATACGCGAGTACAGCAGAGATAGCGGCGAGATCAATAGACGTAACGTACATTCCTTGTCTGAAGGTCTTCGCGGGTGCCTACGTGAGGTCTTCGAGGATGGGAACGATACATTCGGTAGCTACATACACGCGTATATATACTCCAGCATCGGCAAACGAGACATTACTTGCCAATACTTCGCAAAATAATGCCCACAAAGGGCACAAAGTGCACAAAGTTAGTGGCCTACATTACGGAGAAATGTACTCAAGGAGATGATTCCATGGATTGACGAAAGAAAGAGCCGCCGAGAATATAAAGTTGTCCCAAGTTGAGCCATCCTCGTCAACATGATCAGCATTATTTTGTGGCCCAGAATTACCGTGACATCTCCCTGACAGCCCAAGTCGCCGAGGAGCCGCAAACTTGCCGCCGACAGCTAGAGTTCTCAAACAAATCTTATCCTCATGAAAATATAGATTAATGGCTTGAATTTTAATTGTACAGCATGGTTTCAACAGCATGATACGTCCATTAGGTACAGGAAAGAGTGGTGAATGAACAGTGTCCATGAGAGCGAGAAAGCGGGGAGCAAAAGCAGGATGCATGAGAGTATGAGAACCAGTAGAATCTTTGATGATGGTGATTACGATGCAGTGGGGATAGCAGAATATATGACGGTACGAGAACTAGTAGAATGCTCGACGACCACTGGCATGGTTACGGGGCGGCGGCGATGGCGAGGGAGTTTCAGGAGTGAACGCAATTGAGTCTTGACCCAGCAAATTTGTCGAAACCCGGGGAAACTCCGAGCTGCCGAGCGCTGCCGCACAGCGACCAGCCTCGCAGTCCTTGGACCCTGATATGCAGGAGCATTGTTGAACCGGGGTTTCTTCAACGTAGTGTTGGGGAACGGTAGCGATGGGCGCGATGAAAGAAGTGAGGTGCTGAATTAACGAGTCCCATGTCGATGAGAAGGTCAAAGAGATACTTGGATTGACGAACGAGTGCAGGCTCAAGTTCCTCAGGTCCCCAGGCCCGGATTATGCGAAGGTTATTGTAGAGTGCCTGCAGAGTGGGGGCGAAAGAATATCCATGCCATCCGCTGTAGAGCTCGTTGAAGAGCTCATCGATGTCAGCGGTATTGGCGGTTAACCTTTTGAACTCGTGGAAGGGACAGGATTAGTGAGTGTCGGAAAACGGAAGGTTTTGCGTATTCCAGTCGCTCCTCGGGAAGGAGCAGGTCTTGGTCGTCGACGAACGTTGGAGAGGGGAACGGTGGTGACCACGTCCAGTGCCTTTCGATTTTTATTCGAAAGCAAGAAAGGGCCAGCACGTGCAGTCGAAAAATATCTGAGGTGGCCATGGACGTCGATTTGGCTCATGTTCTTATCGTCGAAATTGCGCTTATTCCCTCAAGTTCGTCCATACTAGAGCGTGGCGAGCACCTAATAGTACATGATATGCCTTAGATGAACAGACGAATGGGTAGGAAAAGGACGTACGGATGGCGTCAACGAGGTAGTTATGATGTCCTGACCTCCGCTCTAACACCCTCTTGAGCCCGATAACGACCTTCTTACTTCCTTCGATTGGGTACCCGGAGCCGATCAAAAGAGGCATGGCGCTCGAAAGCCGGACCATGAAGAGGCCTGAACCTCGTGTTCGTTGAGCAGGTCCCCATTAAAATGCACGTTGTCAGGTGTATCACAATTCGAACACGCTATGGTTCGCTACACGCGTTGCGAGATATCAGCGTCAGGGAGCAGAGGCAGAGGAGACAGAGAAACGTACGATAGCGGCTCATTCGGTTCCTCTCGAAAGGCTACCGACCACTCATGAACGAACGTCCGCCCACGAAGCCTCTATTCACAACCTCTTTTAACGTCCGCGATTCGACTGCGTCCCTTCGGCGGTGTGGTTTTTGAGATCTTGGGTCTTTCCAGAATGAATGTTGAAGCGGCGGCGGAGCATCCGAGGAGCGTGTGGCCCGAGGAGGTTTCGTTCAGTGAGGTGATTGGGATCGATAGGGCGAAAAAGCTATGAGAGGAGGGGAATTTGGGGAATGTGGCCCTCTATGTGTTGAATAAGCCTCCTCGGGTCGTCGGGTACATATGCAGATAGGGATTCGGCGCAATACTGCACGTTGAGAGACAAGAATTCAATGTTTCAACATCAACGTTCAACATTGAATATTGACGCTCCGCCGCTGCAACTGTGGGCTGGAGTCAATATCAAGGTCGCGAACAGAGTTGAACTTTTGAGGTCGGTTGTTGCCATCGGTGAGGTTACTGAGGAGCGACGGTTGAACGCTGTGCGAAGTCTGGTAAATGAATCAATGAGAGACAAGCAAGTTTGACGGAAGCAGACGTACCTATGAGCAGAATTCTCATCCCCCGATTCGATCCTCCTATAGAATACTCGCGGAATCAGGGTACGCTGAGCAGGTGGACAAAGAACGGCAGGTTATGGGCGTAGGTCCATGACTGAGTTGAGACTGACAAGACGTTGGGTCGATGACGAATCTTCAGTTTCGGCTTTCTTCTTGCTTCCCTGCCATGGGGTCGTCGTCTGGGTATGGGGTGCATGGTGGAGCAGGGATGAAGAGAGGGGGGGATTGACTAGGTGAACGAGACTATGGATTGTGCGGTAGACTTGGGAGATCGGGAGAATGCGAAGCTTGAGTTGGATCTTTGTCGGATGGGGACAAGCACGACTGAGCACGAGGAGGCGGATCCAAGAAGTGATAGGTGACACGGAGAGCTAGTGAGCATGCTCGTGAACGTCATTTCGTTGCCTTGCTCGAGGAGCAGTCCTGGCCAGAGGCCGTTCGTAGTCGACGAACATGGGAGGAACGAGGAGAAACGATCGAGACCCGGTGCTATTTGCATTCGAACTCCGACAGGAGCGCTCGATCGTGCTCTTCCCTTTGCTGCTCGTCTCCTGCGAGCAGCGAGTAAGTACAGAGCTGTCTGGGTCTCTGCTATCTCAGCATACCAGCCGTATAACTCAACGCGTCTCGACGACACCCTACCTTCATTCAACCACGCTCCGGCCCCCCTACTCATCTCCGCAGACATGCGCACTTGCTGACCAGCTCTCCTCTCTCCGTCATTTCGTCCGTCTGCTGGGATTGACACCCCTTCTTCTTTCTTCCGGCCCTGGCCCTCTTCCTCAATCCTCTACAGTAGGCGACCTCGTTAAATGCACACCTTCCTCCGTTCCCATATCTCTCTGCCTGACGCCTCAACGTCAGGTCGCAGCTCCGCAGCTCCATTGCTGCTGCCTTTCCACCGTCCATCTGTCCGGCCTCGGTTCTCGACAGAAGCCTACGACACATTTTCAGAGTCCAGGGAGCGAAGGTCGCCATGAGGATCTCACAAGGCGCTCAAGAGAAATGGGGTCCTACGCTGGAATAAATTAGCGTTGTGTGCAATATTCGGACAGAATCCCCCTGGACTAAAGTCATGACCACCGACATTCTGCCTGCCCAAGTCTTCGCTCTCTGTCGTCGTTCTTCCGTGGCCTCCCCTTCAATGACACGGTCCTGACATATTTCATTCCACACAGGTGTAAGAATTGCTGTAATTTAATCAGATAATTGATGGACACAAACAGCGCCCACTTCTGGGAAGCCTAACCAAGTGCGACCCCTGTCTCCGATGGCGAGCGTCCAGGGGTGTGGCGCATATGCCTTTTGTATACATTTCCCAAGCCATGCAGTTTTTGCTTCCGCTCGCCTTGGCGTGCGCCACACCAAGCGATCGAGTAAAAACTCCTTCATTATTAGTATTTGCGGAATGAAATACGAATTTAATTCACCGACGGACTCACGGTAATAAAGCTCAATGAGAGAGCAGAAGTAAAGGGACACGGACGGTAGCAGGGGCGAGAACGGGCAGCGTGGAGGATGAATCGCCTATCCGAACCGGGTTGGTAAACGACACCTAGCGAGGGTGGTTAGAAATGTTGAAACTAATGTTGAAACTAATGCAGACCTCCAAGAAGATATTGAGGCAATTACACAGTGAAAGATGACGGAAGAAGTCGCGGTGTGCTCCTCCTGCATCAAGGCATCGGCGAGGAAAAGGCAAAGAAAGGAATTCGTCGAAATATCATCTGGGAAGAAATGTATTCCAAGTTCGAAGCGATGGTACGTAGTGTGCGCCGTACCGTACCAGGCAAATAAGCCATAGGTCATGGCCGATGGATGGTGACTATGTAGCCGGGAGCCCTGCCAGGGCCTAGCGTAGATTAGATTAGATAGATATGTGGCTGTGCACATACAGATGAGCCAGCGCAGAGTCTGTACAGAATCGTCATTACACCTTGCCTGCGACGCCATCCGCACAGCCTGCTCGACGCGCTTCCGAGCCTGCGCATCCGAGAGCGGTCATCTGGCCTGCTCCAACAAAACCAGTTTCATGGGCCCGAAGAGGTTGAATCTAGAGCCGGCCTGCCCTCCCTCCCGCAATTAATCGTGTTTCGCGAAGAGTACCGTCTTGTCGAGTGTGCCAGTTCTTATGTGAGAAATCTGGGAACGATGGTTCTATCAGCCGACCGACAAAGGTAGAACATGTCGAATCGTACCCGCGCCTCTGATGTTTTGATACCTTGAACAAGTCGCACCACTCCATGTTCATACACTCCGAATTTGCCAGCTCTCGCCACGTGCTCCGGTGTCCCGGATGTTCTCCCTGCCTATGCGACACCATGGGCCTGGAAGCGGAATGAGGACCTTTCGTGGCGGCGGGTTGGCTGCGACGACGAGGGGTCATGTTGACGTTCAGGTGCACGCGGGGTAGGCGTACAAAGTTGGAAGCGGAGGACGAGGGAGGGGACGGTAACGAATGTGGAGGCTTCGGGATAGAGGACGGAAGCGGACGGAATGGCATCCCGAATGAATGGCACGGAGGAATACCGAGAGGAGAGGAAGGACGTTGCCAGGGATGTTATTCTTCCTCGGTGTGCGGTGCGAGGAGGGTTTGAACGTGGCTAGATACGGGAGCATCTTGGAAGGGAATAAGAAAGGCGTCCATGGAGACGAGGGAAGGATGGAGGAGGATCAAAAAAATGGTGTATTCTTCTGCAGGATGGGCGTGGTAGCGAGTAGATGAGGGGTATTGGTAACCGGGCTGGTAGCTCGCCAAGAAAACAGGCGAGCCGGACTGGCACGAGCTTGGTAGGGGCCTAGGGTGTTGTCGAGATGCAGTGATGCCGGGAGACAGGCAGAAGAGAAGAGACACCGCTCGTCGACGAGAGGCTCCTGTATAAAAATAAACCTGGCAACGGCGCCCACCCGACCGGTCTCAACCCTTCCTCGACATGACCGACTTAAAGACCTCCAGCTGCCAGATCTGTTCCTTCTCGAGTGAAGGAAGGGAATGGCTGGAATTTACAAGAAAGGACGTGGTAGGCGTCCTCTGGGAACTCCTCCAGCCCATCACCACCGAGTTTGTCATCATAGATCCTCGTCGACGAGGATCCAAAAGTTCATCTTCTCAAATCTACCAAACTCGACGCATCTCAACCTCGACCCCATGCGTCACCACCTCACTCACCCATACAACGATTCACCAAACCCACCCTTTGGAGCTCAGTAACAACTTCATGGAGCGAGATCAATTCCTCCATGTCACTCCAGCTGCTAGCAGGTTTACTGCTCCCAGATGGCGGGTGCTTGTCAATTAAGTTGTCGATGAATTCGGCTGCGCCAGAAATATCGAGAACGCCCGCCACAGTGGCGTGAATCCCGATGAAAATTGGGTCAGGCATGTTGTAGGCGTATCCATGAGGAGTACGGTTCCTGAAAACAACTGCCAAGTTGCGGCCTCCCAATTTGCGGAGACCAGAAAGAAAATCAGCGACCCGTAACTTGTCAAACCAGTCAAGCGTGTATGTGTGTTCAGTAGCCTAACATGTATTAGGTGCTCGCAAATGAGAAACAGAGATAAAAACATACTGTTGGGAGCAGACGTATCCGGTACTGATCGAAGAGGATATGTGCGTCAGCCCCAAGGGTGATTGCATTTGAAGGGTGATCAATGTGATCCTCCATGTTCCAGAGGTAATCATCGGGAAGGCGAGTATAGTTTCGTAGTATATCAAATGTAGCAGCGGCCGGTCTGAACTGGTGAGACGACATTCAGCAAGATTCTTGTGGACGAGACAATACCTCGGACGTACACTAGGATCTGTCTCACGGTGACTTTGCCCACCTACAGCTCTCCGCAATACATGAGCTACCTCCAATCTAGTAACACCTGGATCCACAGGACGACGGCTGTCTACTATACCCGTGATCACACACGTATAACCGTCACGACGGAGCACCTAGGAACAGAAGTGTTTGTACGCAGGAGGTCTCCGTCAAAACGGGAGAGGCTTACGGTATCCATGTCTAAAGTCCTACGTCCAATGGATCTAGTCGGCATATTGTCCGCCGTCCTTTCATACGTTGGGGTGGCGATATCAGAAAAAATTTCAGATGCTTGTTGTGCGTAGGTTCTCGGACTGGCTTTAACTGCGCAAAGTGGCTTTAGCATTGATGTACGGAAACAAAACCTGGATGAACTCACATGGGAAGAGGAAGTGGGTGACCCAAGTGACTGCGAGAGCTCGGAGGTTCTTAACCAGTTCTTCATGTCGCAAGGGACCACCGCGATCACCCTCTTCAGCCCGTTTGGAACAGGTAAGAATTGCTTTAATCACGTATACCAGCCCTCAATGTTGCGGAAAATCGGCTTTGCCATCGGAGCGGGAAGCAGCAGAACTCTGGGGTGGCATCTTGATGTCCTCGGTGCAGGTGAGCATTGCCTGTAGAACTCGATGAAGTTGTAACGATGTTGCAGTTGCCGAGGGCTTGAAAATGTTGGCTGTGTTCTCTTCGAGTTTCTTGATGATATCCTTTGCTTTCTTGGTCTGAGCAATCACATCGGCATCAGAGAGGGTCGACCTGTTGATGTCCGCACTGAGATCGGTGAAGATCTGCAACTCAGAGGCCATAGTACTGGGGCTATCGAGGGTGGAAAATGAAGAATTGGATTCCTTGGAGTCCGTCCTGTTGTGTGACATGGCCACTGGCGAAATATGAAGACCCAGAAGATAAGAAGGGCTAGAAGGTAGAAGGCAAACTCAGTGTCTACCCCCCCACGTGATGATAGAATGAATTACGTAAACATGGCTGGCTGCCCCTCTTCTCCCCACTCAGTGCGCCTCACCAGTGAGTCGCCCCCGCTTCCCTGTGGCCACTGTCTTTTTTGGATGGCGACCTTCACCAGCCTTTGCTCTTTGCACGGATATGCCTGTTCTGCTGTGTTTGTATGCCCCTTACAACCACTGTCTCCGTCGTATACATCCCTGATGATCCCCTCACAACACAGCCTCCTTCATCCTTCCTTATGACTCGGTTAAGGTTCCCTTTTTGAAGGACCATCACTGTTGCCTTTCTGCTGTTGCTCTGTCACACTTACCACGATTTCTAACAGCCATATGCTCAAAACATATGGAGTGAAGACCACCTTCGGGTCTTACAGGACACTTGTATCCTCCAACCCATCCTCCATTGGTCTATCCCAGTCAAGACTGCCACCCATTGAGGTTGACGTATTACTATACTCAGCCCTTCAAAAAAGCTTGCCCCAACCATCGACTTGTCCATTCCACTCTGCTCCCCTGCCCTCTGTCCATCGAGCCCTTGTCTCTTTGTGTGTGAAGTATGTCACCTAATCTTAATCACTCAATGTACTTATGCATGACATGCTATAAGACCTTTCATGTGAACAATGTTGATGAAGAGCATTAGCTTTGGGCTAAGTGACTGTGGCATTGCCCTCTTCACTGCTGCATGTCTGTTGTGCCTGTGTCAAAATCTGTTCTCTCTGTCCAATGTCCTTGTTCCTCCCTGGTTCCTGCTGTGTTGCTTGCCGCTTGCCTCCTCCGAAGGCGTGCTTTCCAATCGTCGTCAACATCAGGAAACTGGCTGGTGGCTACATAGGCCTAGTGAGCCTACATAGCATCAGTAGGACTTTAGGCACCCCCCATTATATTGAAGCTTATAGGCAGGGGACAAGCCTATGCCAAACAACATAGACAAGGCTAGAGCCTCCATAGGCAAATATAGGTGGGTGGTAGGTGTCCATCGGTCATCATAAACAGATACGGGTAGCAGCTGTAGGACCCATTGCGTTGTATAGAAAGCAAAAAGGATATATAGTAAGCTATTTACTAGCTAATGTAGCATACATGTATTTGAGAGACTAGAATATATCAAACAAACATACTATTGTCAAGGCCCACAAGGTAGCTCTACTTGTCGTCGGAGAGCACCAAATCCTCCCACTCCCTCTTTGCAGCTTCGATATCAGCATCTGCCAGCTCATTGGTAGAGCCAACACCAGTGGCATCCTCGATGCAGGCATGCTTCCTGAGGTTTGATTGAGTCAAATCAGTCAATCAAAATAATCACACACTCACCGTGCGGCCTTGAGCATATGCCTGCATAACTGGGGAATGATCTCAGCTTCTTTCATCTTGCGCGCAAAATCAGTCAGCTGCTGGAGGTGGGCCTGGTACTTCGACTTGTATGCTGCCATTGTGAAGGGAACATCTGACTGTTCACCAGTGACCCACTCATCATCGGAGTCATCAAGATTGTTCTCAACCTTTTCAAGCTCAATTGGGCTACGCAGCAAGTAAATAATGAATCAAAGACTTACAATAGTCAAAGCAAGAGCAAGTGTTGGGAGAGCAAGCATGTCATCCTCCAAAAACTCAGGGTGAATGACACCCTCATCATCCTTGTTGCGGAACCACATCTTATTGATGATAACTTGAAGGATTGAAGCACGAAATATCCCAGTTTTCGCTTCTGGGTCCTAACATGCGAGAATATCAGTCTTTAATGAAAGATAAGGGGATATGACAGTGAAACGAGCCTTGTATATGAAGCGAGCACTGTCAAGGAGGTGCTCGACCCAGTCACAAATGTCACACTTGCCAGTGGAGCCATCGATGCTGTAGGATGGGAGGACATAGGGCTTGGAGGTTGTCTTGAGTTGACCACGGGTTTGAGAGGCACATGCTCCAATCTTAAAAAGAATGTATTGAAAAGTTAGTTATCAATTTCTCAATTGAGAAGATGCACATACCAGTTTGAATATTTTCTCGTCAAGTTCCACCCGAATACCACGCTCATCGCAAACCTCCTTTTAAGCTGACATGATGGCATCTCGGGCCTCAGTACGCTCTGGGAAGGGGATGACTGCTCCAATTTGGGCCTTGTAGATGGCGATGGCATTCTCGATCAATGTTTTGGAAAGATCGTCAACATCAGAAGCACAGATCTGACCACGAGACCCTGAACCCTCGACTTTGGCACATTTGATGACAATGGCAGTGGCAGCCGAGGTAGTGGTCAGTGCCTCCTTTCAGACCAAGCTGGGTGTGGCCTGTTGAGGTGCAACACAATCCTGGCCAGTGTGTGCTGCAGAGCACGGGAAGTTCTCGAGATCTGGGTGGGCATTGGGGTATTCATAGACAATGGGTTCTGCAAAGTGAAGACCAGTGGGAGCTGTTCCAAACTCAGCCTCTGGGACATGGATGTGCGAGTGATATGATGACCCATCTGGGCACCCATACACAGCCTGAATGTGAGGTGTATAGGGCCCAATGGGGGTATTCCTGACCAGCAGAGTCTGAGGGGCACTTGGAGTCACCAAATACTTGTCCTGAGTAGGGTACTTCTTGCTGGGGCCAGTAAAACGATGGATGAGGACAGGGCCCTGTTTCTTGTTCATAGGCAAGGTGCCAACATGTATCATGTCCAGAGATGCCTGTAGCAGGTGATTGTACTGATGCTGCAATCATGTCATCCGACACCTACCTGGTCAGATGGCTTGGGTGCATTCCTCGAGTGTTGAACTGGGCGAGGGACAACTGTGATGCTGGAGAACAGCTAGCAGAAGTTGAGTGGGTAGGATGATGATGTTCAAGAAGATTAAGACTTACCATGTTCTCGAGAGTCTCATCATCCTCAGATTCAGGCCCCAAGGTATCATCAACGTCGATGCTGCTCACTTGGTTGAAAGGTCAAAAAAGGAAATTTTTAGTTGTACTTAGAAAACGACATACAATTATTCTTTTCCTTGTTGAACCCATTTATCTCCTCGTGTTTTTGCTGAGCACGAAGTGCCTCAGTATATGCCTGCTTCTGGGCACTGTCTTCTTTCTCAGCTTGCTGAGCAACTATCATCGAGGTTAGAATTATACGTCTGAGCAGACACTTAATGGCATCAGCTTACCATTCTGCTGTTGCTTGAGGGTCATTGTTCGTGCACGGCCAGTGCCAGACCTTGTTGCTGCAGCTGGGGTGGACAGCTGAGGAGCAGTGGCAGTGCTGCCAACTGGTACGACCGCTGCTGAACTGGTGGCACGTGAGGTGCAATTCATGAGTATGTAAGACTAGGTGGTGGATAGGAGGACAACGCTGGGGTGGGCCGAGTAGTGGTGGTTCTGGACATTGGGAGATGGTTGTGGTGGTGGTTAAATACCAAAAACAGGTGGCAGTGCTGTATTTCGGGTTTGTTGACTGGTGATAAACAAAACGCAAGCATTGCGCACGTTGTGCGGATGTCACCTGGACAGAAGTAAATGAGGCCTCTGGCAAACACTGTGCTGGTGGCCATTAGTCAGACGGAGCTCAGAGATGGAATAGACACATACATGTTCATGGCCAACAAAGCAAAAATCTGCAAATTTGGTGGCAGAGGTCCCTTCCACAACTCCTCTGATCTGGAGCGACATATCACAAACTTGACATCCTGCTGAAAAGCCTCTCTCAATGAGTTCAAAAATCTCATGAACAACATCTGGGATGACTCACTGGTGGTTGGCTCTCACACCACAGAGCCTCATGCACCATCACTGGCTCCTCTTGATCTGCCAGACATCACGCTTGAGGCAGATATCTATGCTGCAGAGGAGCAAATCAACCATGAGCCACAAGAGGATGAGGAAAGAGAATGCACCGCTACTGGCAGAGACACCAACACCCAAGGGCATCCATCCCAACATGCCACTGTTGAAGATATTGACGACTCTGATGATGAAGAAATTGCATGGGTTCCCCATTACATTTGAGAATTTGACGCTGCTGCAAAGGCAGGTGGGATCTGGCCAGGCAACGGGGATGTGCTGCTGTTCGACAAGATCCATTTGGAGCAGGAAGTGAAAGGGCAAGGCCCATGGCACCCTTTTGCAGATGAAGAGGAGTGGGCGCTGGCAGAGTGGTTGATGAAGAATGTCGGACAGAAGCAGACGGATGCCTTCTTAAAGCTTCCCATCGTATGTTTAACAAAACTCTCAGGCTGTCAGAATTGTTAACCTGGATCTCCCTTAAAATAGACTCAGACACGTACCAGTCCTACATATTCGAACAACAAGAGCTTCTTGAAGAAGATTGATGCACTACCAACATTTGGCGTTGGGTGGGAGTGTGATCTCATAACGTCAAAGGGGAACCAGCTTAATGAGGAGGGAGAACTAATGCCAGTGGAGACATTAGAGCTCTGGCAACAGGACCCAGTTGCCTGTGTACAAGAGCTCCTGGGCAATCCGATCTTTGAACATGTACTGAAGTACGCACCAGAACAACACTTCACTGACGAAGAAGGAAAGATGCGTGTGTATGATGAGATGTGGACAGCCGATTGGTGGTGGAATGCCCAGGTAAGTCATAATGATGCTGCTATATTTATCAGTCTCATTAATAGTGTTCAAAGAAAAAACTACCTGTAGGCTCAACAGTGGCCCCACTGATCCTGTCATCCAATAAGACCCAGCTATCAGTTTTTTGAGGTGACAAGAGTGCATGGCCGGTCTACCTTACTGTTGGAAATATTGAGAAAGCAACTTGTCGAAAGCTGTCAGCACATGCAACAGTATTAATCGGCTACTTACCGGTTGCAAAGCTCAATAACTTCACTGACGAGACACGCTCTGTCCAGGGTTACTGACTGTTTCATTACTGCATGCAGCGACTCCTGGCACCCATCATTGAAGCCGGCAAGAAGGGGGTCGACATGATTTGTGCGGACGGCTTCATCCAGTGAGTTTTCCCAATCCTGGCAGCCTACGTTGCTGATTTCCCAGAGCAATGTTTGGTCGCCTGTTGCAAGGAGAGCTATTGCCCAAAGTGTCGAGTCAGGCCGAATGAGTGAGGGGAGCTCTTGCAATCGCTTATGAGAGACGAAGGGCAGACGAAGACAATTCTGGAACATAAAAAATCTGGACGACATGTCAGTGCATTTAACGACGAAGGAATTCGAGCTGTGTACAAACCTTTCTAGGCCAGTCTTCCCCACAGCGACATATTCACTGCATTTACCCCAGATATCCTCCACCAACTCCACAAGGGTGTCTTCAAGGACCATCTTGTCAACTGGTGCATTGAAATAGCAGGTGCTGCCAAGATAGATGCGCATTTTCGAAGCATGCCAAGCTACCCAGGCCTACGACATTTTCGCAACGGGGTCTCTTTCGTGACACAATGGACTGGACATGAGCACAAAGAAATGCAACATGTGTTTGTGGCACTGCTTACTGGTGCTGTTCAACTGGGTGTCCTCCATGCTGCCACTGCTCTGCTCGACTTCATCTACTATGCCCAGCTCCAAGTGCACACTTCCCAAACCCTCAAGTGCATGCAGAAGGCCCTGGAGGTATTTCATGAGAATAAGAAAATATTCATCCGAATGCAGGTCCGCAAGCATTTCAACATACCTAAGCTCCACCAGCTTCTCCACTATCTCAAGGCAATCAAATGGCTTGGAACAGCAGACAGATACAACACAGAGTCACCAGAACGCTTGCACATTGACTACGTGAAAGAAGCCTACTGCACGAGTAACAAGTGTGAGTATGTTCATCAAATGACTCTGTGGTTGGCTTGACAAGAAGCAGTGGTTCGTTTTCACACCTACCTTGATTACATAAAGGAATGCCAGCGCATCTTATCTGGGGTTGGCCCAATCTCCGAGGTCGACAATGACAATGACGACGACAATCAATTCGGTGATATTTTTAGCCATGTAATCCGTACGACTTGGGACAAGATGCACCATTCCTGTGAGTAAATCAATGATCACAGTTACCGAATCATAGGTGCCGTCTCTATCTTTAGATTCAGGGAACGGCCCCATGAAATCAATTCCAATCGTGTCCCAAGGTTGCGAAGGCACAGGTAATGGATTCAAGAGACCGTAAGGCTTCTGATTACTCGTTTTACTTTGTTTACAAGTCCTACAGGAGTCACAGTAGGTTTCAATGTCTTTATACATTGTTTTCCACCATACGAAGTCTTGAAGATAATCATAAGTTTTGCTTGTACTTAGGTGAGCGAGCAGAGAATGTCCTTCTGCGATTACAATCTCACGTACACTTCTTCCCTGTACCTGGAGATCTGGTATACACAGACGCTTCTGGCTGTCATCCTTGAGAAAAACCAAGCCATCTTCAATAATGAAGTTTCTATGCTTGGTAGGTTTCTCTATAATGGCTTTAAACACAGTATCTTGACCATACTTATGTCTAATCTCCTTCAGGACATCAATTCCAGCCATATCCTTTGTGATATCGAGCTGGGGAATCTTTTCAAGCATTTGTGGTGCCTTGACTAAGTCCGTTTCGGCGTTCTCCGAAGCGTCACTTGGCGCTCTTGGCTCGGCCTCGAGCACGCTAATTTTAGACACTCTCTCACTGTCACTACAAGAGACGTTGTCCTTCTTCTTTCTGGCAGGTATTCTGATAACCAGCTTCTGGTTGGCAGATGTTCCCTGGTCCTGAGTCGCCTACTTGAGCAGCAAATTCTTCTGCTGTCTTGGGCCTTCCTGTCTCAGCCAGTGAGTTCATTGCCTTCTTGTTCTTGCGACGAACATAATTCACAGCAAATGTAGATACCTTGCCCTCCAGTCCAACTAGAACCAGAGCCGAGATGACCTCGAGTGCTTGTTCAGACATTGGCATCCCGGAATTGTCATGTTCCGTGTACTCGCTCGGAGCGTGTACAGTCCCAGGTGCGTCGTTAGAGTATATACGCGAGAGCGCATCACTCAATATGTTCTCCACACCCGGAACATAGATGACTTCAAAATCAAAAATGCTTATCTTTTCCATCCATCAAGCTTGCCTTCTGGACAAGTTTCATTGCTTCAACAGATGGATGAGGCCTTTGTGATCTGTAAACCAACGAAAGTGAGTGCCTTGCAGGATGTCTCAATGCCTCAGCATTGTCTCGACACCCGCTAACAGTTCAATTTCATGTACAGCATAGTTCTGCTGCGCTGGAGACAGTTTCACTGAAAAGAAAGCAGCTACATCTGCTTTCTTCCAGTCTTCTCCTTGGCTTACAATCCCTGCAATCCCTGTCACGCAACCATCTGTCACGACATTGATATGGGGTGCATCTTTGCCATATCTCAATGGCTTTCTGTGATGATCTTTACATTTCACAGCCAGCTCTTTAATTTTGTCAAACGCCCTCTGCTGCGTCTTGCCCCATCGAAAAGGGACGGAGTCACTTGTTAGACTATGAAGAACACCCATCGGAAATCGCACGCGGTCAATATCATCCGCAAGGTAGCCCGCCGCCCCAAGGAACCCTCGAAGAAGGTCTCGATTTGTCGGCGTTTTCCATCAGGACAATGCATCAACTTTATGTGGGTCCATCTGGATGCCCTCTTCATCAACTATACGACCCAAAATCTTGACTCGCTTGGACAAGAAATTGAGCTTATTTGCTGAAAGGTAAAATTTCTCCCTTTTCAACACATCAAGAACAAGTTTAACATGCTCAATATGCTCTTCAAGGGTGTCCGAGTAGATAACTATGTAATCCAAATAGACATCCATGAAGATTCCAATGTACGGAGAAAAAATATGGTTCATCAATGCTTGAAACGTTGCCGGTGCGTTACAATCGCCTATTTGGACGACATTACTAACCATATTTCCCTGTGGCGTTGCGAATGCCATCTTCCAGATGTCTTTCGGATCCATGCGCATCTGTTCGTATGCGTCTTTCAAGTCCAGCATCGATCGGTACGTCTTCGCCGCCACCCGACAAGTTATCCCTTCAATCTCTGGGAGTGGACTCAAAAGTTTCCTTGTATTCTTATTCCGTGGCCTTAAATCCAATGGATTTCAAACATCTGGCTCTTGTCCTGGCTTTGCAGGCTTCGGAATGAGCATCATAGGTACAGTGTTTCGGGCATGTGTGATCTCCCACCGACCTGATTTAATGTATGCATTCCTTTTAGCTGTCCATTTCTCTATGAACGCCTCTGGGCATCATGATGGACACCACGGGTAAACCATATCTTCATCTATAAGATGAATCTGATGATTGATAGCTCATAGAGGTGGTAGAGGTGTCTCCATGGCTGTTTTACATAATGGAGCTGCATACTCTCAAAGGTACTTGTGCACCTCTTCAAGATTCTCTTCACACAGCAGCGTGCTCCTTGACACAACCTTTCTGACACTTATCCCTTCAATAGGCAATGATTTGTCACTTCCAATGACGCATTGAGTGGGGTTAAACCCAATCATGACACTATGTTGATACAACCACGGCGTTCTGAGTATCAAATCATAACTCAAGACGTTCAAAATATCAAAGGTTCATTCCTCGTTGATATTCTGATACTTAAACCAGGTTGATATCTGATAGTTAACTTTAGAGCGCGATCCCTGAACAGCCAACTGTACATTCAAAGGTGATGCTAGCTCTCTTTTCTTTAACTTCAGCTGATCCGCTAGTGTGCTCGACATAAAGTCGCATAGCGAACCCAAATTGATGAGCACCTGAGCTAAGCGCCCATCGATCTCGACAGCTATTCGGATGGTTCCGGTACTACCCTCGAGAAATCTTTCATGAAGGCTGCCATCCTATGTGCTGAAGGGTACTTGTCATTCCCTTTTGCTTTTGATGCAGCGCAATGAATATCAAATTCCTCGTCTAGCTCAATCATATAAGCTTCAAGAAATGAATTCATCCACTCATCATCGTCACCGTCATCATCATCGTCATTGCTCCCTCCCGCATCTGAGAAGATATCAGGCGGTGTCTTGTCAAACAGGGTGTCAAGGTCCCAGCTGTCAAGCTGCTCGACGTGCTCTAGGGACATGTCCCGTAAGTGCTTTGGTAATTGCCTCAAATACCATTGTCTAATGTCTAGGCAATGGTTCATTAACTCCTCAGGAGTTATACTACTAACCAATCGTGCTATGATGTCATATATCCTGTAGGTGTTCGCATGGCGATCCCACACAATTTCGAAATGGTACATATTGTTTCTTTTTTCTTTTGAGCAGTGGTAATAATTGAAGAAGCACTCACCAAACACAAGCTTCCATGCACCATTAAGTGCCCACAAATTGCACTTTTGTGGCGATTTCTTGTGCCATCGAGGTAAGGGCTTCACCCTAACTCGTTCCCGCTGTGTGCACTTAATTGCATACCACCGGCCAATCAGGAAATCGTCTTGCAAGGCCATCAAAGCCTCAAGTACTTCCGTTTCATTGGTCACTTCGTCCTGTATGATTAGATGACCTGGGTAGCTAGGGTACACATTAAAATGGTGGTTTACCTTGCTTTCCCAGCAAGGATCCCCTGGAAAGGGTCGCATCGTGTCCAGTAAGTGCTCAACTTGTTCGCACAATGGATCACCGATCTTCCCATCCACGTTTTTGGGTGTGTCTTCACTCTCCGGATCATACAACAGCCTTGCAGCCTCCTCATATGATAAGGTAGGGTCTAATTCCTCAGGCAGGTCATCCACATCTGACTTGCACATCCAGGAATCATTCTCATTGACTGCACCAGACATGAAATTAGCGAAGTCCTGGAAGACCTCACTCCTTTCTGTGATGTTCCTGGTGTCAAATGAGACATTTGCCAACATTACTGATGACACTCCAACTGATTTCACTGGCTCGGTGGTACCTTCCAGGTTTCGGTACTGTTTCTCCTTTTGAACGGCAAGCTCCACACTGAAGCTCTTCAAACCAGGGGGCTTACTGCCTTTGTTTGAGGATACTGTCTGTGCTTTTGGGCACTGGTGCGAGACATGGCCCTCCTCGTGGCAATGGAAGCATTTACCTTGCTTGCAAAGAAGTGCCTTCTCGTCCTTGGTTAGCTCAGGTGTGCTTTCCTTCTTCTTTTCGGGCTCTTTTCCCTTATCTGACCTCGACTTTTCATTGTCATGTGGCTTAAAGGGTTTCAACAAGCTTGAAGGTGCGCTACTGTTATTATTGTAATGACTCTTCGTATTCTGATTTGTGTGCTTGCTCGAACTAGCGCCTGTATTGTGATCTCCTAAAACAAGGCGATCAGTGATCTCGTGCCGCTCAGCAACACACACAACTTCTTTCCATGATGAGGTTTGGGGGTCCAAGTTCTCCCTCCACAATGCTCGCTGTAACTCAACCCTTAAACCATTCCACAACTTGTCAACACGTTGACGTGTTGAGGATGACCCGAGGGTACGGAATACTATCAATAGCTCAGCCACGTATTCTCTGACTTGTAGGTTTCCCTGCGTCATCTTTTCTAGCTTACGGCTTTGCTTCAAATGGAAGTCAGGTGGGAGGCAATAATTGAAGAGACCTTTCAGAAATTTCTTCATGCTCCACCCTTTGGTATCCATTGATACTTCTGTTGTGTAGAACTTGTACACTTTACCGGTCAAGTAATCCGCACATTTGGATATCCGATCATACTTTGGGATATTGGCCTCCCTGCAGAATCTCGCGCATTGGGTTGCAAAGCGGTAGAATTTCATTGGGTCAGCCTCACCGCTGTACTTTTCGGGTGTCGTTGGCGCGATTTGCTTATACACGGTGCACTTCTTTTTCTTTTTGTGGTGATCCTCCTCATCTTCCAAGTCAGACGGATCCAAGTCTGAAGGGTCCTCATCGTCATCAGACGATGAGTCTTCCTCCTCATCCTGCCCATCTGCAATGCCTTTGGTAGGTGGCTCGGGTGCTTATTCCCATTAAGCGCCCAGCTCAGATAACTGTCAGGTGCAACCTGATTGCTAGTGCGTAGGACTTTGGGCCTGGAGTTTTGAACTCGAGACAGCGTTTGCCCCACAGGAAGAGGCTCCCACTGCAACTCTCGCCCTCCCTCAGGCCTCATTTTGTTGTGCCCTCCAGACATCGCTTTACGCCCTCCAGCAGTTGCGGTGGGGCGCCGTGTGGCCTGTCCGATCAACGCTTCCATCTCATTTGAGAGTGGGGTGGCTGTACGGCATGGTGCGTGTTCTTCTGTAGCTGCCTTTTTCTGATGGCGGTATTCCTTCTCAAGCACCTTGGCTTTCTCCTGTAGTGTTGCTAGGAGCGGGAGCCACTTCAACCTTAAGGGGGCTTAAGTTTGGGTCTAACCATATATAGGAGCTTAAGGTCCCTTAAGCTTGATCAGCTTCAGCCAAACTTAAGGCGCACTTCCCTTTTGGGTGCGCAATGATGTCATGTCTGATAAGGGGCTCATTAGACGCTCATGCATGTTACAACCTGTGCTGAGCCGAGGTGTGCTGGAGACTGGGTGCATTCAGATGTGCTTTGGAAGAGATTTCGGATGTGGACTTTGGCTTCAACGTTTGTGCGTTGCGCCCTCGAGATAGTCTAAGTCCGATTTCAGAGTATAGGCTTTTAGGCCGGTGTCGGATGTTGAACGGATGCGAGCGGATGAGAACAGATGCAAGTGGATGAGAACAGATGCGAGCGGATGAGAACGGATGAGACGAGAGGAGGAGATTAGAAGTTGAGTATGATATTCAGACTGCTGGACTCAGTCGTCCTGCAGTCCCTTAAATACTACAACAAATAATGGACTACCTATGACAATGAGCCGTCGGCTGTCTAACTCGTGGAGGGAACGTGTATGCTAATGACAATAGAATAATGAGGCACGTGTACACTAGGAAAATCAAAGACAAATAACAAACAAAAGAACAATATAATTGAAGAACCGAAACGGCTATGAATGGATGTCTCTTGGATGTCTTCGGCATGGAACGGGTCGTGACAGTACCTCCCCCTTAAGGCCAAGCCCCCGAGGCCTTTTACTGTGGCTGATGTTTGGTATTGTATATGCCATGTTGAACTTGGCCGTTTAGGGTTGTTTGCATCTGGAAAAATTTCTCTTCTGCTCTACCACCTGGCCCCCCCAAAACCCGAACTCCACAATGTCCAGCCCCACCAAAACATCTGAAACCCAGTGCCTACTCGAACAACAAAGGAAGTTGGTGGAGGAGAAGATGCGGGAGAGGGCGGAGAAAGCGAGGCAGAGACGGTTGGAGGAGGAGAGGGAGAAGGCTGAGGAGGAGGAGATGGCCTGGGCGCTCGCGGCAGTGGAGCAAGCGGCGGAAGAGGAGCGGCTGCGAGAGGAAGCGGCGGCTCAACAACGGCTGCAAGAACAGGAGGCGGCTGAGAGGCGTAAAGCGGCGGCCAGGAAAAGGGCCGAGGAGAAGAGGGCTGAGGAGGAGAGGAGGAAAAGGGCCAAAGAAGAACGAAAGGCCGAAGAGGAGCAAGCAGCTGAAGCAGCACGGCAGGCGGCTAGGCCTACGGCCTACCCAAGCACAGATGAGGAGGACGAAGAAGTGGTTGTAGAACGAACCAAGCGCAAAGGCAAGGGCAGGGTCATCAAGTCATCTGGTGAGTAGTTAGTTTTTGGGTGTTGGTCAGTGGCTAACGGCTGTCGTAGATGAAAGTAGTTCGGAGGGCGAGAGTGGGAGCGAGGGAGAAGGAAGAAGGGGCAAGGAGAAGGAGAAGGGGCAAGAAGAAGAAGACAAAGACAAAGACGAAAAAGATGATGAGGAGCCGGGGACAGCTGCGGCCACGAAGGGGAAGACAAAGACGGCATGCAAGGTGAAGTTGCAAGATGAGAGGAACTGGATCCGGGACGAGGGGATCGTGAAGGCAGAGGCGAGCTGGCCTGTGATGCAGGAGCCATGTGCCCACTGCATCGCAGCTGGCATTCGTTGCCAATGGAATCTGGGTGCCGTGGAGAAGTGGTGTACGGCCGTTGAGAATGGCAAGGGGAAGAAGTGCGTGCCACCCGGTGTCTCGTGCTCGGCTTGCATGCGCGCCAAGATTACATGCGTGCTGCCGGCTACGAAGTGGATGCGCGACCGGCTTGAGAAGAACAACGACGGCAAGAGGAAGCAGGACAATGATGACAAAGGGGATTTCGAGCCAGAGGGAAGGTTGAAGAGAGTGAGGGTGGAAGAGGAGGAAATGCTGCGAGCCGGGCCTAGCCACGAATGAATGCATCGGGCGGCGGCTGTTGGGGTGGACCAGGCGTGAAGGAGGCAGAGGAGGGAGCAGGCCGAAGCATCAGATGACCCAATGGTCCACCTAGCATGGTCCGTGGAGAAGATGCGCCGGCAGCAACAGTCGATGAGCTGGGCAGTCCTCAAGCAACTCCAGGTGACCAACCGGCTCTTGACTCGGTTCGTCACAGCCTATGAAAAGGCCCATGCGGAGAAGAAGGAGGAAGACAAGGAAAAGGGACTGGAAGAGGGAACAGGAGAGGGAGTGAGCCAGTAGGTATGGGGCGACAAGGAACGGCTATGAAAAAGTACATAATTGTATATAGAAAATTTTTTTTGTTGACTTGAAAATTTTATGACTTGAATTTTCTTGAATGAAGGGTTGAACGGAAGTGAACAGCACAAAATGGAAGTGAACGGAAGATAAACGGAAGAGATATAAACTCAGAAATAGAGAAGTGCAGATGGGTCAAACGAGTGAAAAACAGAAGAGGACGGAGGTCAAACCGGCAAAGGGCCTGGCTTGTTGGGATATGCCTTGTGGAATTCTTGGACTAGTTCTTGAGCGTTCAGGAGTTCATCGGCTGGCTGCCAGGAGAACTCCTCATCCGTGTTCTCATAACCATACCATCAAACATAGTAGAGGAGCTTGCACTTGCGTCGTCGATCGATCTTAGAATCGACTATCTTGGCGACCTTGTACTCGAGTTCACCTTCGATTTCGACGGGTGCTGGCGGCTCAACGGCATGGTTCAGAATAGTACTCGGCTTGAAAGGCTCGAGCATCGAGACATGGAACACTGGATGGACTAGTCGCATAGACTGGGGAAGGCGGAGGGTGAAGGAATGAGATCCTACTTGGGCTATGATCTCATATGGGCCGAGGAACTTTTTGGCTAGCTTCTTGGATCGACAGGTGGTTTGGAAGAATTGAGCTTTGACAAAAACTTGATCGCTGACCTTGAAGTTTGGAGCCGGAAGACGTCGGCTGTCGGCTGCCTTTTGGTAGCGCTTTTGAGACTTGCGAATGTTTTCCTTAAGGAACTCATGGAGTTCTCCTAGGTCAACAGTGAACTCTCAAGCATGGCTAAGTTTGGATGATAACCCTTGTTGGCGAAGAAGGGCAATATGCCAGTGGCATCGTGTGGAGCGTTGTTGTAGGCGAATTCGGCAAGCGGAAGGAGAGTGACCCAATTGTCTTGTTGGTAGTTGCAGTAGGTTCAAAGGTACTGTTCCAAGGTTTGGTTGGTGCGTTCCGTCTGGCCGTCACCTTCCGGATGGTAGCCGGAAGTGAAATGCAGTTCTATGTCGAGAGCCTTACCCAGGCCTCGGAAGAAGTGCGAGACAAATTCGGAGCCATGATCGGAAGTGATGTGAGAGGGGACACCATGCTTGGAGAATACATTGAGGATGAACAACTCGGCCAACTTGACGGCTGTGAGGTTGGAATGTGTCAGCACGAACACAGCTTGCTTCGTGAGCCTATCGACGATGACTAGGATGTCAGTGAAACCAGCGGAAGGCAGAAGCTTCTCAATGAGGTCCATGGATATAGAATTCCAAGGACGCTTGGGAACCGGAAGTTGCTTAAGGAGCCCATAAGGCTTGTGGCGGCGCGGCTTGACTCAGTTGCAAATAACACAAGAATTGACGTAGTCTTTGACAAAGTCACGCATGCTGGGCCATGCATATTCTCGTCGGACCAATTTGAGAGTCTTGTTCTGGCCAAAGTGACCAGCTAACAGATGATCGTGCTTGGTTTGCAACACATGGATCCGCAAGTTGTTAATGTCCGGAACAAAGATACGATCGTTGAGAAGTAGTAGGCCGTCAGGGGAGAGAGTGAACTTGGGGTCAGAGGGTGCCGTAAGTTGAGCGGCAGAGATCGGATCGTTCGGAAGGGCTTCTCGGATGTCGGCATGAAGCTTTTTGATGTCAAGGGTGATAGCTCCACGCAGAGAGGGTGTGATCAGAGTTGACGCTCAGAGGGATGTAGCCAGCTGTTCCTGGGTAAATACTGGACAGAAGTTGTGGGGGTTGACAGTGGCGTAGTCGCTACCTCCCTCTTTAAGGTAGACATCCCATCATCTAGTAAGGGCATCCGGTTTGGCACCGAGCTTGCCGGGTCGGAAGCGAACGATGAGGTTGAACTGACTTAGGTACTCGGACCAACGTGCCTGCCGACAGTTCAAGAGTTTCGTGGTAGCAAAATACTCAAGGTTCTTGTGGTCGGTAACAATGTCGATGGGAGTGCCAGAGCCTTCTAGGTAGTGCTGCCAGATCCGGAACGATTCATAGATCGCGAAAAGTTCCTTGTCGTGGACATCATAGTTGAGTTTGGTTGGATTGAACGTACGGGAGTGGAAAGCAACCGGGTGGATTTCTCCATTGGTCAGCTCGATAGAGAGGATAGCAGCAAGGGCATAGTCAGAAGCGTCGGTTTCGAGGATGATGGGCTGATCTGGAATCCATTGGGTGAGGACAGGAGCCGTAGTGAAGGCTTTCTTGAGGTAGTTGAACGATTCCCAGGCTTCATCAGAAAACTTGAAGGGAACACCTTTCCGAGTGAGCTGGGTGAGAGGAACACAGATGTCAGAATAATTGTAAATGAACCGTCTATAAAAATTGGTGAAGCCGAGGAAGGACTGAATGTCCTTGACTTTCCGTGGCTTGGGCCAGTCCTGGATGATCTTGACCTTGTCTGCCGCCATGGAGAGACCGTCAGCTGAAAGAATATAGCCAAGGTACTCAACACGATCGGTGTGCCATTCGCACTTGTCAGGCCAGGTGTAAAGTCCATGCTTCTGAAGACGTTGGAGCACTTCCTTGACATGTTCCTTGTGCGAGGCGAGATCTGAAGAGTAAATGAGAATGTCATCCAGGTAGACGATAACCGAAACATTGATGAGATCCAAGAAGATGTCATTCATGAATCGCTGGAAAGCAGCCGGAGCGTTGGATAAGCCAAACGGCATAACCCTCCATTTGAACGAGCCGTAGCGGGTCCGGAACGTGGTTTTCCATTCATCGCCATCCACGATTCTGACCAGGTGGTAGGCGTGCCGAAGGTCGATCTTGGTGAAAACCTTGGCTTTGCCGGGAGCGTCCAACAGGTCGGAGATGAGTGGGAGGGGATAGCGGTCCTTCTTGGTGACTTTGTTAAGGCCGCAGTAGTCAACACAGAGCCGAAGAGAGCCGTCCTTCTTCCGAACAAAGAGGATAGGGGCTCCGTGAGACGAGTTGGATGGTCGGATGAACTTGGATCGAGTATTCTCTTCCAGGAACTCTTGCAAGGCTTGAAGTTTGGTAGAGGAGAGAGAATACATCCAGCCGAGGGGCGGCTCGGCACCTTCCTCAAGGTCAATCTTGAGGTCATAGGGACGATGAGGTGCGAGGGTGTCAGCCTTGGATTTGCTGAACACGTCTGGGAATTCGTGGTAGTCTTCTGGGACAGAAGAGAGGTTGACGGGTTCCGGGTTGTCAGTAGCCAAAGAGCGAGCCGAGACCGAACCGTTGCGGGATAGGGCCAGTTGGAACGAGACTGACCCCGGAAGATGGCAGGCGCGTGCGAAGGCGACTGCGTTGATAAGGGAAACATGAGGCAAGGGAGTGGATGGTTTGGAAGAAGGTTCATAAGGAAGGGAAGGAGTAGGCAGGATAGGAGGAATAGGAGGGACTGGAAGTGACTTGGCAACAACTGGAGTGGGTGGTAAGGCGGAAGCCAAACAGCCTGATAGACTCGGAAGAGCCTTGGATTGCGGAAGACATCAGAAAGAATGTAAAGGCCTGCGGTCCAGTCAATCAACGGATTGTAATTACACAGCCAATTGTATCCAAACACTAGGGCACATGAAGAATCCAGTTTAGTGACAAAGAAGGTCGAGGAGAGAATGTCGCCGGTCGGATATCAGATAGGGATGTCAGCAGCTTGGGTTAAAGTGTTAACAGTCCCATCAAGGAGGTGTAAGGCTAAAGGAGGTATATCGTAAGTGGAGACATTATGTATAGATACGAAATTAGTATCAATGAAACAATGAGTGGAGCCAGAATCTACCAAGCCAGTGGCAGGAACCGTAGATCGTGAGTGTAATGTAACAGGGAGCGTGAGGGAGTCGGGGTCGGATAGTGCTGCGGCATTAAGGCGAACTTCTTTGGGGACATTGCGAGAGCAACCGCAACCCTCTGGCAATGCTGAAGGCGGAGGGCTGCTTACTCTTTTGCTGTTCCGGACTTAGTGTCCTTCACAGCCGGAGTGGCAGGTGCGGAAGCGGTGTAAGGAGGAGCGGCCGTAGTAGACGAGGCGCGACCTTTGGCGGAGTTACGCTTGTGACAGTCGGAAGCAACATGGCCAGCTTTGCTGCAGAAGAGGCAGAGGCCTCCCTTGAGCCGGCGTTCACGTTCCTCGGGCTTGAGCTTCACTTCTATAAGCCAGGTGAATATATCAGATACTGTATTTAAGCAGGGTATACTCACATGTCAGGACTGTGATTAAACAGTCCACCCACGGAGAGGCCATTGCTGTGCATGCCGGGGCTCAGTGCTGTGGGCGGGACCTGTCAACATGAGCAAACAATGCAGGAAACAATGCCCGAGCATTGTTCCTCATTGTTTTCGGTGTTCCCGCCACCGTTTTCGACAGGGAAAAGGCGCCAATGATGAGGAAACATATTTCCTCGTCGTTGTGCACCATTTCCCCCATCATCGGGGGGCGGGAATGGATGGATTGGGACAGGGCGCTTTGGATGATGCTCGGTATTTTTACCACGTCATCTATTTTTAGCTGGCATTCTTGATGTGCACATGAAAATAGGGAACAAATTGTATTATATTGTAAAAAAATAAATATATGATGCAGGTGGCTAGTAGAGCCACCTGCTACGAAACAGGAATAATACGAACAGAAACGGCGTGTCCTATGCATGCCGTTTCTGCTTGTGGGGGCGGGAATGGTCCCCCACCTCCGCTACCGCCTCTGCTGCCTCTGCTGCCCCTTGGTGGGCGTCTCTGCCTCCTCCTCACCATCTCCATCCTCCTGCGCTCGGTGTGGCACTCTCCGCCCTGCGTGTGCTAGGTGGGTCCCTCCGCCCCACCCCCTGCGCTCGTTGGGGCCCTCTCCACCCTCCCGTGTTTGTTGGGGTGGATTAGGGCTCCTCTGCCCCCTCTGCCTCTTGCTGGGGTCAGCTGGGTCCTCTCCACCTCCTGCCATGCTCGTTGGGGTGATGAGCCAGCTCTGCTTCTAACCCCAGAAATCATGCAAAACAGCTCTTTCAAACACTTCGTCATCGCGATCTGGGCTCACCACACCTCCAACACCTCATAGACGCGTCATAACAATCACCCAAGCGACTCAATAGGCCACAAATGATCACTCAGCAAGCACAGCTATCCCCGTGACCATCACCAGCTCTCTCCATGTGCACGAAGGCGCTCGGCGCGCCACTCTTTCCGCTTGAGGCAAGTCTTGCTACCTCCCCTGCCCCTTGCCTCGTCGTTTCATCTCTTATTCTCTTTTTCCTTCATTCATGTTTTATAAAATTTCTCTTTATCTTTATTCCTGAACCCGGTTTGGCAACGCACTCCCTGCTGGTCTCCCTTTTTCTTCATAGTATAAAAACCTCTGTATTTCGTGCTTTTATGCAATAACACACAGTTCCTCGTCTCATTTGCCCACTCGGGGCACTCGTATCTCATCCTCACCTCTTGTACTCGTCGTCTCTCGCCTCTCTGCCTCGTTTCGACTCGCTGCCTCGATCCGCAGTCACCTTGTCTTTCGAATTCGCCGTCATCGTCGTCCCATTCCCACGCTTAGCACCCTCGTTCATAGTCCGTCTTCGAGTCGTACGAGCCCCCTGGTTAGAGCCGCACAGCCGTGGAACTCGTCCTCGCACCTCAGAGCCACTCATTACAGTGTTTGGGTGTGTGTTTCTCCTTTTCCTTATCCACACGATCACCCCGCTGTAGGCACATCAGGGGTCAGTTCGGGACCCCTCTGCTCCTCCGCCGCCTGCTGGGGTTGGTTGGGGACCTCTCTGCCCCTTCCGCACTCTCCATCTTCCCCCATCTGCCCCTCCTCTGCTCGTTCGGGGCCCTTCGTCACTCATTGGGCCTCTTCGGATGCTTGTTTGCGCCCTCTGCTGGTCGTTCGCTGGTCGGAGGGTCCCCTCGAGATGGCGAGTGGTGGAGGGTGAGAGGCGAAGGGCGAGGAGACAGAGGTGAGGGTGAACGGGCGAGGGGGGGAGAGGGGCGGACCAGGGATGGACCAGGGGTGAGGAGGTGGGCAAGAGGGGTGAGGTGGGTGAGGTGGGCGAGACGGCAAAACGGCAAAACGGGCAAAAGGGCGAGGTGGGCGAGAGGGACGAAGGGGCAGGTGAAAGGGTGAAAGGCGAGGTGGGTGAAAGGGCAAGGTGGGCGGTGGGCAAAAGGGCGAAGGGCGAAGGGGAGAGGGCGCAGGCAAGGGAGAGGGCGAGGGTGAGGGAGGCGAGGGGCAGACGAGGGGTGAGAAGGCGCAGCGAAGGGCGACAGGGCGACAGGGCGACAGGGTGAGGCAGAGTGCCCCCACCGCCGTTGTCGTCCTGCCCTCCCCGCCGTTGTCATCCTGCCCTCCCTGTCGTCGTCGTGGTGAGACAGCGGGGGGCCAGAGGGTGAGGTGGGCGAGAGGGAGAGGTGGGCGAGAGGGCGAAGGCGAGAGGGTGGGGGCGAAGGCGAGAGGGCGAATGGGTGAGAGGGCGAGAGGGTGGGCAAATGGGCGAGGGTGAAAGGGCGAAGGGGAGAGGGTGCGGGCGAGGGAGAGGGCGAGGGCGAGGCAGATGACAGGGGGTGGACGAGGGACGAGGGCGGGGTGAAGGGTGCCCCCCCTGCTGCTGTCATCGTCATCGTCATTGTGTCCCCCACTGTCGTTGTGTCCCCTGCCCTCGTCGTGCCCTCGTGGTCGTCCTGCTCTCGCCATTGTCGTCATGCCCGTCGCTGTCGTCCTGTGCCCGCCGTTGTCGTCTTGCGCCGGCCGTTGCCATCCTGGTTGAGATGGTGGTGGTGGGCGAATGGGCGGTGCTGGGCGAGTGGGCGGTGGTGGACAGGGAGGTGTCCGAGCCCACATCCCTGTCACGAGGGGAGGGGCAGCTTTGTTACGTCGTCATTGACGTGGAGGGGGTTCTGTGAGGGCAGAGGTGGGTTAGTAGAGATGTAGGTACATAGGAAAGATATGTACCTACCTTTTTCTTGTGTTTCGGGGCTGCTTCGTCATGAGGGGTGAGGGAGGTGGTGGAGAAGACAGGATCAACGATGTTGAACCATCGTTGATCGTGGTTCGGCGAGTTCCGGCTATGCCTCCTATTGGCTGGGAAATCCAGCCCGCTCCCCATCCGTTCCGTTATCAACCAACGGAATGTCTCCAATGCATGCAGAATGCAATTTATCTCCATTAAAACCATTGGAAATTGTTGTAAGTATATAAATTCATCTGTACATGTAATTTCAGTGAGATCTGGGTAACATGAAATATTTTATGAGCGAAACCATCTGAGGCTCAGGCCAATGATGGGACTCTGACCTCTGTATGTGGATTCCAAGAGGCAGAAGATGCCAAATAAATACATAAAAATGACATACACACTGGCTTATGGTGATAATAATGGGTTTTAGAGCTCCCCTGGCCAATTTATTAATTTTAAGATGCAAACTAAGAAACGGCCAACGACGGGGTGGATTCCGTAGTCAAACCAACTCACGGATGTGTCAAAAATCAGACACTGGTTTGTATCATAGGATTTACATTGGAAATTCAGGCTAATTTTTTTATATGATGTACTAACTTACACAAGGATCTCAAATGCCAAATTTTGTGATGTTGTACCTTGTTGAATGAGTGGTATTTGAGAGGTTGGAGACATCAGGAGGACGTAAATCACCACGCAAAAACAGTAACTCAGGTTCTTAGCTCGTTCTTGCCCTCAGAATTTATTCAGACCTTTGTAAATACATAGAATACAGTAATATACTTACATACCAAGGATAATTCAGTGGATTTTCATCATAGGCCAACAGTATTGGCGATTCCGAGGTCGATGAGCGGAACGCAGGCTGGCCGGACCGCCAGGGCCAGCCAATCACATCGCCCATGGCATTCGCTGGATAAGCCATCAATGATGATGACCGTCGTTGATCCTCATCCTCGACCACCATCTGCGCTCTCCCCTCTTTGCCCAACACCCCAAACGACACCTCAAGACTGAAAAAAACAATAACTAATATGTTTTATTTGTGTTTACATACTCTAATACACCTTTAATTCAACCTTAGGCCAACGAACGTCGACTTGAAGTCGACGTTCGTCTTCCCTGGTTCTAGGGCCCCCTTCAGTAGGGATGTGGGCAGGGGCAGGAACCCCACCCCTCCGTCGTTTGACTCGCCTCTCACGCCCCTCTTCTTATATAGGGGTGTGGGCCGAACCACGGACGGACGAACCACAGCGACGAACGACGATGGCTACGACGAACAACAACGATGACGATGACAGCGGGCGACGAATGACAATGGGAGGGCACGACAAGGACGATAGGGGCACAACGAGGGCGACGGCACAACGACAAGGATGGGGGCACGACAATGAGGACGGGGGCACAACGACAACGACGAGGGCACGACAAGGAGGACGGCGGGGGCATGACAGGGGGCGCCCTTCACCCTCTGCCCGTTCGCCCATCCGTCCTTTCACCCATTCGCCCGTCTGTTCTTTCACCTGTTCGCCCCCTCCTGCCGTTTGCCCCTTTGGTCCCTTCGCCTGTTTGCCCTGTTTGCCCTGTTTGCCCTGTTTGCCCTCTCTGTCCCTTCGCCCCATTCGCCCTCTCTGTCCCTTCGCCCCGTTCGCCTGCTGTCCCTTCGCCCCCTCTGTCCTTTCGCCCCCTCTGTCCCTTCGCCCCCTTCGCCCATTCGGCCCCTCTGTCCCTTCACCCGTTCGCCCCGTTTGTCCTTCGCCCTTTCGCCCGTTCGCCTTCCACGCTTGGCCCTTCGAGCACCAGTGGAGGGGAACACAAGGAGAGAAGAGCAGGAGGAGGGGGGAGAGCACAAGGGAGGGGGAGGAGGAAGGAGAGGGGGAGAGCAGGAGGAGCGGGGAAGAACAGAAGGAGGAGGGGGGAAGACCAGGAGCAGGAGGGGGTGATGGGGGCAGTGAGCACGACGACGGGGCGTTTTCCCGCCTCGTTCAGACCTTCACTGGTCCCCTCACCCTTCGTCCTTCGCTCCCCCTCCTCCTCGCCCCTCGCCTCTCGCCCCTTACCCCCTCACAAGGGGCTCAACATGCCGGCGAAGGGTGTGGATGGGGCCCAACGATGGGGAGAGGAGCGCAGTGGAGAGGGGGGCAGAGGTGCCCCCCACAGAGGAGCAAGGGGGGTGGAGGTGCGGAGGTGGCCCCCACAGATGAGGAGGGGGTGGAGGGGTCCCCCAC